ACTTCCAGATGCCCGGCACTACAGATCGGCCATATCCACCACAAGCTAACATCTTAGCCCAACCATCTCCACCAAGACTGGCCTTCATTAGAGGATCTAGCTCTTAACTGCAACCAGCTGCTGTCGCCCTCAGCCGCACAATTCACATAAATGCGCAGCCCTAGCCACCACCATCCATGCATCCCTTAGTCACGGTCTCCCTCAGTCGCGCAAACACGCAAACCTAACAAGACCAGCCTGCTCCTCTATGCACTGCTCACACATCCGTCCGCTCTGTCAGTCCAGCACAGCCACGACTCTCTTCTACCACGCCTGTCTGCATTTGTTTGGAAGTCACTGTATCTCCTGCCATTCCTAGCACAGTTGCATCTGTCTGACCACACAGGACAACCCTTCCTCTGGTCAATTCCAGTCCATTCGCACAGAATAGAAAGCTCTGTTTGTCCGCACAGCAGCTCTGGCCAGATACACACAGACCTAACAAGACCAGCCTGCTCCTCTGTGCACTACTCATGCATCCGTCCACTCTGTCGGTCCAGCAGAGCCACGACTCTCTTCTACCACGCCTGTCTGCATTTGTTTGGGAGTTGCTGTATCTCCTGCCACTCCCAGCACAGTTGTATCTGTCTGACCACACATCACAAACCTTCCTCTGCTCAACTCCAGTCTGTCCGCATAGCACAGCAAGCTCTGTCTGTCTGCACAGTAGCTCTGGCTCATCAGGCTAGATACACACAGCCGTGTATCCTCCTCGTAAAATCCTTCCTGTAATTTTTTATTCGATCATAATTACCGTAAAACTCTCAGAGGGTATCAGATATATTATCTCAAAAGACTGACACCCACTTTCACATGGGGAGTACCACCAGTGAATTTCAACGAATCCCGGCAGCCTAGCACTTCATGAGAAAGGATTATCTAAGCTGGTGAAACTACTCTAAGAGGAATGGGCAATCTCAACTATCTTCTTAGATCAGACCAAATCCCAGAGACCCCACATTTCATGCTTGGGACGAAGAGGATTCTATGATCATGACATGGCTTTAGCACTTCATGATTCTAGAAATCAGCAAGACTGTGATGTTCCTGCCCACAGAAATAGCAATGTAGGATGCAATCGGCGAAACTCACTCTTAAATCAAGGACTTCGTACAGATTTATAACTTGACTGTCAAGACATAGTTGACCAAACAAGGGAATAGGCCAGTTATTGAATATTATAACATGTTAAAAGCTAGTGGCAGAAACTGGACCAGTACCAGTCTTATTGTGTACTGCAGTTGAGATGTAGCCCATCTCAAGAAGTTTGTAAAAAAAAAAAACTGTGCATATCAATTTATGGCAGAACTAAATCCTGAATATGATCAAGTACAAATATAAATTTTAGGAAAAGAGGAAATAACATCACTTAATGAAGTAATCTCAATTATAAAAATGAAAGAGAGAAGAAGAATGGTCATGATAAAATCTCGCTCCACCAATAGTTTAGCCTGGCCACACGAGATACCAAACCTCGTCAACATACAAAGAACGTAAGTCACTCTGAGAAACGACTCCGGAAGTGGATAACAGAGACAATCTTTGGCGTACCTTTTGCAAAAAGCTTAGATACACCAAATAAAAATGTCAGGAATAGCACGGCGATCCTAGTACTTTCAGTAATCCTAGAACATGACTCCGGAAGTGGATAATAGAGACAATCTTTGGCGTACTTTTTGCAAAAAACTTAGATACACCAAATAAAAATGTCAGGAATTGCACAACAATCCTAGTACTTTCGGTAATCCTAGAACACGACTCCGGAAGTGGACGACAATCCTAGTACTTTCAGTAATCCTAGAACACGACTCCGGAAGTGGATAACAGAGACAATCTTTGGCGTACCTTTTGCAAAAAGCTTAAATACACCAAGTAGAAATGTCCGGAGTTGCACAGCCATCCTAGCACTTTCAGTAATCCTAGAACACGACTCCGGAAGTGGATAACAGAGACAATCTTTGGCGTACCTTTTGCAAAAAGCTTAGATACACCAAATAAAAATGTCAGGAACTGCACGGCAAATCCTAGTACTTTCAACAATGAGTGAGAATAAAAAACTACCCAACCGAACATTCACAAACAGTCAACCAACAGGAAGAAAACACATCAGGTCTCACTACTTTCAAAGCTAAGATTGAACGACTGCAAGATCGATTAGAGGACCTTGAGAAGTCTATACGTATAAGTGCAATAAAATACTTAGTTGTGCTTTTCTTTTCACATGATTTAAATGTCTTAGATAAATCCTTTAAAAAATTTTAGATTATAGACTCATAACCCACAGGTCATATGATCAATAATTTAAAATATTTTCACACATATGTTCCCGCCCAAAGAATTAGAAAATTGTTACTGCTGATGGTTTCTCAATATTGTTGTAGGCAATGAGAATATTAAGCTTAATCCTATCCTAATCCTAAAAATGTGTTGCATGTTCACAAACTATGTACTAATCTTATGTTGATTAATGAATTATCACAAGATTTGAACTACAAAACAATATTTGACTTTTCTCATTGTGACTTTCAAGACTGGAACTCCAGAAAGATGATTGAATGTGTTGAAGCTAGAAACAGAATCTACTACTTGAATGCACCTTAAAGATCCTTTATTGTAACTACTTACCTCACACATGATTTTGCTCTACTATAAGAGACTCGAGCACCCATCTTTTTCATCTTGAAGATTACATTTTTTTTATTATTTAAGAATTTAGAATATGAAAATTTATACTGTAATATCTATAAGTCTGCAAAACATACCGTGTAAAGTTTTCCGTTAGTAACAAAAAAAGTTAGTTCATTTTTCATAAATCTACAGTGATATTTAGGGACCAACTCACACACATAATATTTCTCGAACTTGATGGTTTATTTCGTTTATTGACAACTATACTAGTCACCTACTTATTTTTACTTAAAGGCAAATATGATATTATTCATATTACATTATAGTTCTGCAAGATAATAAAAACTCAATTTGAAGCAGACATAAAAAGATTTTGCACTAACAATACTAAAGAATTTTTAACCACAATTTCATCATTCTCTTATCAAGAAAGTATTCTTCATGAATCATCATGCGTCCATACTTTAGAGCCCACAAAAAATTCATCCACTTAAGAGATCATACCAAACTCTAGATTTTCTCAGGTGTATACAAAGAGGAAGATCTTGAGTTCTAAGCCTATGTCAATCCAAGCATCTGATCTTGATACTGGAATTGAGGTAAGTCCGAAAAACCTATACAAATTGATAGTAATATACTTATTGTACTTTGTAAAGATATCAAAAAGTGTACAAAATATTTTCTTTATCCTATCTCACAATTTGTATCGTTTTATAAGTGTTCCCCATCCCATAAAAATTTTCTCACAAATTTGAATACAGATTTTATTGCTAACATAATACTGATGCATTATCTTATGAAAATAAAAAAATGCATATGAATATGAAAATTAAGTACTTGAAACAAACCAGACATAGGAAATTGAGAATCTACCTAAAACAAAAAATCGGAGAGATGTAAGCGAGTCTTTACAATCAAATATAAGGCAAATGGGACAACAAAAAAATATAAAGCAAGATTGGTGGCAAAAAGCTATACACATGGGATCGTTTGCTAAGAGACATTTACACCAGTAACTAAAATGAACACTGCATTTTTTTTTTTAAATAAAACATTATCTTTTTATTATAACTACTCACTCTGATTAGTAACTTTAATAATTTGATGTGAAAAATATCTTCCTGCATAGAAATTTAAAAGAAAATATCTATATGATTATTCCAGCAGACTTCGTCAAAGAAACAAGGCCAAATAAAGTCTATAAATTGAAGAAAACATTGTATGAACTCAAACAATCGCTAAGAGTATGTTTTGACAGGTTCACAATGGTGATGATAAACCTAAAATTTAAGCAGACTCAAGTAGACCACATTCTATTCATCAAGCACTCAGAAACTAGAGGAATTATAGCATTCCTAATATACATTGATGACATTATTATAGATGAGATGATGAGAAAGAAAAAACTAATGTTAAAATGGTATTTGACAAGGGAATTCAAAATTAAGGATTAGGTAAGTTCAAGAATTTTCTTAAAACCGAAGTCAACTCCTTAAAATCTGGATCTTTATTTCTTAGTAGAAATACATTTCATACTTGTTGGAGATACTGACAAGTCAATATGTAAACTAGCTAGTACTCATATTAATCCCAATTGTAAATTAGGAGTAACAAAAGAAGATACGCTAATAATCAAGAAAATGTATAAGATATTAATTGGAAGACTGATATACCTATACTACATAAGACCAAACATAGCACATGCATTAAGTGTTGTAAGTCAATTCATGCACAGTCAAAAAAAAAAATGCACTTACAAGCAGCCTACAGAGTACTGTATTACTTAAAAGAAAAAAAAATTATGTGTAGGAAGAGTGATAGACCATCCCTATAAGTCTACATAGATGCAAATTATAAAAGATCAATTGTAGGCAGAAAATCTACCAGATGATATTATATCCCTTTTGGCAACCTAATCATCTAGAAAAATAAGAAACAAAATGTATTTGCTAAATCAAGTGCAAGATCAGAATTCCGAGCAATTACACAAGCGATATGTAAACTATTATGGATAATAAGAACTTTAAAAGACCTAAAAATCAAGTGAAAAAATCTCATGCGCCTGATAACAAGTCAACCATAAGCATTGCAAATAATTCAATGCAACATGATCGAACCAAACATACCGAGATCGATAAACACTTTATCAAAGAAGAACTTTATAATGGCCTAATATTTACCCCATGTATCTCTACCATTCTCAATTGGCAAATTTATTGATTAAAGATTTGAGCAATCCAACATTCTGAACTCTTATTGACAAGCTGGGGATGGACAACTCTGATATCTAGCTTAAGAGGGAGTGTTAGAGAAAGGTAAATTAGGTTAAAAAAATATAAGGGTAAAATACTCTATATCTAATTTATTGTATATTTCCTTTCCCATCTTAGAAAATTTGTATATACAGAACTATGATATTCAATAAAATACACATCAAACTATTCTTAATAATTTTTATAGAATTTAACATTCATTATTCCAGTTCTACTTGTAATTCCATATAAGATCAAATTTTTGTATTGTAAGAAAGAATTCATCATCTTCTAGTAAAATAAATGCAGATTTATAAATGAAATCTACAAAAGTTATAGATTTGTTCCCAAACATGGCGTAGTAGCTCAGTGACTTCAGTCTACTATAAACCATCTTCTGCACATGGAAACTTTTATGAAATTGTTTGATTCATGCAGAGGGGATTGCCACAAAGAAAAAACAAACAAAGGAAAAAGATACAAGAAAAGAAATGGGAAAACCTAAACTTTCGATAATTAAAAAGCGAAACTAGAAAACTAACCTGATCAGCTACGTCATACATACAGATGTATCTGCTACTTCCACCAGCTAATATGTAACTGCCGTCAGCAGAATAACATAAAGTTGTGAAGCACTTCCCAGAAGTGGAGTTAGCTGCTGATCTGCGATCGGTCATAAGTCGTCCTCCAGCAATATCCCTACGGCCCTCAATTGTGTACATCAATAATCCATTAATTGGATCCCAGAAATGAATCTGTCCATCTAGTGTGCTGCAAGCCAATTGCTTTCCATCTGGGCGATAAGTTAGTGTAAGAACATCATGAGTGTGAGAAAAAGTTTCAACAGCACCTTTCCCTTCAAAGACATCCCACAGCCGAACAGTTTTATCCCATGAAGATGAAGCCAAGACCGACTACACAGAGAAATACAACTTATTAAACTCCTTATGAACAACTTGAAAAAAAATAAGGCCAACAAACTGAAGAACTGTTCACGTTTGCTTGTTCAGTATGCAAGTTAAAACTAAAAAGTATATTTAGCCACTGCAAATAAGACAAGGAAAATATTTGCCCTTACATTCGTAGGAGAAAACATTAATCCATGAACAGGACCTTCATGACCACTGAGAATATCCAACAAACGGCCAGTCTTCATTGACCAAACAAAAACCTACATAACACAAAAAAGAAAGGACAAAAGATTATCCTAAAAGAATTTTTTAAAAGAAGAAAAAGATAAAAGTACTTTGGGAAGAACGGATAATCCGCAAATCATGTTAAAATATGAACGCACCTCAAAGGAATCAAGAGTTCCAGCGCAAATAACTTCACCACTTTGATCTGCTGCTAAAGAAACAAACTGTCTAGAAGAAGGGGTAGTAAATGTCCTAAAATTCCGATAACGTAACAAATCCCATGCACGAACAGTTCCATCCAGAGAAGCACTTAAAAGACATTGGTTGTTTGCCATAAAATGGAGAGCAGTGACAGCATTAGTGTGTTCTGAAAACGTGACAAAGCAAAAGCCAGAAGAAACTGTCCAAACCTGTAATAAGCAGTCATTATTTTGCTCAAATCAGTAAATAAAACATCAATCAAAGTTATGCAACTAAAAAAACTTCGAGTCCCAGGTAAAACATGATATACAGTAAGCAGAGCTCCAGGACCATTATGTTTATTGCTATCAAACAATTTTCTATGCAAAAGTCATAGAGAAGATGTCCAAAGGTACTATGGAAAGAACATAACACTCAGGACAGAATACAATTTGAATGAAGACATGCCAGAATAGCATGCTATGCATGCCATTTGAAAACCCATACAAAATAAAATAAAAGTCGCAAAATTGAATCTTGCAAGTCTAAAACAGACTTAGACAAAAAATTTGAAAGTCCACAATCAGCATATCCAAACAAGGCAGAAACCCCTACAGACATTACCAATACATGCATTCTTATATACCGATCATATGCACAATAACAGAAACACCGGAACAATAAGGAGCAACAATTGATCGCAAATAACAAGCAATTTACTCATTCCAAAGTAAACTAAAAGAAAAGCTGCATATAAAGTAAATCAGTTTTCGCAAGACCATCGAAGTTCTCCTTACCTTGACTTTATTATCATCAGCACCAGTAGCCAAAAGCTGTGAATCCGGTGAATAAGCAAGGCAATTAACATCAAAATAATGTCCCTGCTGCTTCAATATATAGCTTTCAGATCGCCACTCCCAAACTAACAACTGCCCCAACTTTGCACAACCAAATGTCAACCAATTCCCAAGCTCATTGAACACTGCTGTTGTAATTTTTTCTCTTGACATTGAAAGCAAATGGAGACAAACAAAATCGGGCATTTGGTAAAGCCCAAAAACACCATTTGAGAACCCCACCACCAAAAGGTCAAGGCCCCTATGATAATCACATGAAGTCACCTTCGCTGATCCCTGCATAAACCCGTCTTTCCTCAACCTTTCCCACTTCCCTCTATGCAAATACTCTTTTTTCTCCAAAATACCATCAAAATTCTTCCTTTTCCTCACATTCCCATCTCCACTACTCTCTATATTCTCCTCCATATCCCTCTCTGGCGTACCTGGTGAGGGTGGTTCAGAGTCCTCCGCTCGTAATTCATCTAATTTAGGATCACTTCCACTATAACCCCAGCTAAAAATATAACAATCGCGTGCAACGGTGTATACATTATTTACCCTATTACTCTGCTTATCAACACCAAAAAAGCAACCCACAACAGTATCTCTATGACCCAGAAACAAAAATGGCTTATTCAAGGCACCCTTTAGTTTCTTAACGTAAAACAACCTCGCAGTCAGGTCTTTTGACCCGACAAGCAAATACTCGGAATCTAAGCTCCAATCTATAGCAACAACCTTATCATCAAACTCTGCAAATGTTCTTACTAACTCAAAAGCGAAAACCTCTCTCCTGAAAGCCGGAGACCGCCATATTTGAAGCAACTTACCAGTACCCACTGCAATAAACTTGCCGTCAGGGCTAAATTTCAAAGCATGCACCTGATTCTTGAACGTGATTCTGTGAAGGACGACTCGGCGAGGGACATTGATGAAGAGACAGCGGTTGTTCTCGTCGACTGTGAGGAGGAAGGTGCCATCAGGAGAAGCTGCCAAGCGACAAATGTTGGATGAAGATTGGACAGGGAGGGTTATGGTTTCGGATTTTATTAGGTCAGTGATGGATACCCGGTTACCGACTGGAGAAATCAACTGAGTATTTTTCGTGATAAGTGTGTTGCCTCCTCGATAGGGGGCACCCAGGAGGTTATGGAAACGATAGTTCATGACGTTTGTTCGCTCAGAAAACAAGGAAAAAGAAAGGAAAGAGATCAACCGGTGACACAGAAATAGTACAAGAATCCGGAAAAAGAAGAAGAAAAAGAAGTGCTGAGATATGATTTACAGCAGACTTAAGCCTATAATTTCCCCCTAACCCACCTCACACTGAACGAACTGTATCAAAATATTACAAACAAAAAAAAAAACAATAAGTTAACGACAGAATGTCTTTCTTATTCAGTTCATATTAGCCTCCACTGATTTTAGTACGGTTACCAGCGAGACGGGAGCGAGTCTTTATTTAGAAGCTCGCTAGGGTTTTAGGGGTTTAGAACAGAGGAAACATGAGCCAGGTAAACATTTTATTAAGATTAGAACTAAAATATTCCATTAATTATCTAATTTTATGAATTAAAAAATTAATCTAAATTATAAATCGATTAATTTTTTAAAAAATAAAAATAAATAAAAAAACTTCCTTCTAAAATCTTTCTTATTTAAAAAATAAAGCAAATCAATAATTAAAAATTTTACTAATTTTTTAATTAAAATATTTTATTAAATTAATTTTTAATAACACTAAATTATAAAACAAATTTACAATTCTTATTTTTAATTAATAATTTCACTCCTCTATATAAAATTATAAATTTTAGTTTTTGATTAAATTATTTTTTAATTAAAAAATTAATTATATTATTATCATTAATATATATATATATATAAATATCAATTAATTATGAAAACATATATAAAGTTAGTATGCTATTGATGTATCACCAAAATTCCCTTAAACTGAATATAATTATCTTCACTAATCTCATCTATGATCAACTACAGGGCAAAAGAACAGGAAATAAACACATCAAAAACTTTATTTTTAAAAACAAGCAAAAGGAAACTAGGAACATTGGCTTAAACTATACCATATACCCTCTCAATCCATTGTATATATACTACCTACTTTTACAGATGCATTTGTTTCTTTCCCCCTCCCCCTGCCCCCATTATTGTTTTCCCCCCACTCCCCCTGTTGTTCCTCCTCTCTGTCTCCAACAGCAAATGGATTCCAGTCTACCAATTAGGCCCGGGACCCCTCGAGTCCTAGCCTTGCGGTAAGCCAGTTGCACACCTCGTCCATCTCTTTAGGAACTGTGTAATGGCCAAGCCTGCAAATACAGATTTACCCACTTAAGAAACACTGATTACTTGTGTAAGTACAAGTCATTTCTTCCAAATAGGTGAATGTAAATTGTACCCTTCATAGGCTTTAAAAGTAAGGTATCGGAACCCTGCTGCACTTAACGTATGGGCAGATTTCTCTCCGTATTTACATGGGACTACGTCGTCAGCTGCAAAAAGTTCATTAGAGAGCTGGTTTGGTTTCATGAACAAGTCAAACGCTTTCATGCATGAACACACAGCATTATAATCTATAATCAGAAAGTTTACGAAATGATTCCCAGGAAACATGGCTTTTGAGAGAGAGGAAAAGATCAATGACCAGAAAGTTAAGACAATGATTCCAGGAAACATGGCTTCTGAGAGAGAGAGGAAAAGATTGACTTCTTAAAATTCAAGGGAAAAGATCATGAAGCATCATATGCATCAGATCAGGTGACTGATAAGGGTTCAACAAATTCTAAAGGCCCCATAGATTATGTCGTTAGTACCATAATTTTCGACAAATTAATGCAACGAGATCAATGGAGTTGAATTCATGAAAGGATTTTCTGCAATTTTAGGGGCGACAATTAACTTCGAAGTTTCTTCTGCTGCACATGATACTGCTGCTATATTTTTTTGTTGCTGAAAAATTCAAAACTATTTGAAGTTAAAAAAACCTAGGTTCACTCGTTACAAATGAAGAAACATACAAGTGCCATGGGCCAGAAAAATGGGCAAGGACGCAGCACGCCTAGCAGCCTCGTGAGACCCTTCTATTTTGTTCTTTAAGCACCTGCATTGAAATAACATTTTATGAATTGAAGATGGGAATGTTTTGCGGGAAAATATTCATTCCCAGCATAAATAACAACTTCTAACAAAAGACGATTCAATAGATAAATTCCGAACAATGTACCTCGAACCTGGGAGCCAGCCGCTTAGCCCCACCACTGCCCTCAAGTTGAGAACGTATGGATTCCCATTTCCATATCTTCCAAGAGCACAAGAAGTTGCAGAGTAAAGGGCCGTTGCAGCACCCATACTGAAACCTCCAATGCCAACTTTGACTGTCAAAAAGAACAAAACAGTATCAAATCATTTGTTATAATAACAATTCAGTTTGCATGTTATTTGAAGACTAGTTATTGTATAAGTATATTTCACCATGTATCATTTCTGACCCAAAACAGATAGGGCATACTCTTAAATTTTCATATTCTGAGGTAGACGAACTTTTTAGTTACGAATTAAGACAGGGAATACCAGAAAAAGGTTACGATGAACTGCTTCGTAAATATATAAGCAAATATTACCTTCAAGGTGAAATCTGGGTTTTTCATTTGAACGGAATAACTACCTTTTGAGTTGAACAATAATTTTTTATGGCTGCAAATTATGTCTTCCAGGCTTTAAAGTTAGTATCTTGCAAATTCTCTTACCATCAGCTGGCTCAGTTGACAACAGATTGGCAATGTGTGTTGCTGAGGAATCTAAACCCTCCCAGTCATCTGGGCCATCTTCAGAAAGCTCCCCAACATCAAACCCTGATATAGAATATGTGATTATCTTCAGTTACTATTTATAGTAGAAATTGCCAAAGCATATAGCGTTTGATTCATCATAAAATATTTGAAATAGGATATGTAAGATATACAACACATTTAGGTGTAGAAGAGTTTTCTGTTTCCCAACAAAAAAATTCCATTATTTAAAAATAAATACAAAACAAAAAGAGTTCCATTACTTAAAGCTTTCTTTCCAATTTAGAAAACAATCTAAAGATATTTTCAGGTTTTCTTATAACTTGAAAAATGAAAATCTTTCTTTTTTTAACTAAAAACTCTAAATCAGCCCCAACAAAACCTACATGCTGTGCAGGGAAATCCACCAAGGATCGCTACAGGGCGAGTTGGAGCAGTTGGGCAAATCCACTTTATCTGCATCATAACATCAAGACGTACATGTGATTATCAAAGATAACATCACCTGAACTCGTGAAAGAACACAAACTTAACAACAGTGGAACTGGGTATGCTCACATTAGGAAGAGGAAGGCTTTCCAAGAGCTGAGACCAGCTGCAACCAAAATAATTAATTAGAAAAAAGTGCACCTTCAGCTTTTGCTTTATAGACTATTCACTGAGCAATATGCAGTAATTTTAATATGCTAAGCGGTAATATTGTAGATGGGACCTTTGCAAACTTTTTGAAATTATTAGAAACTAGGAATCAACTGCTTATCATATTTGGACCATCGCTAGTTGAGAGAAAATAGTGCCTTAACGATAGAAAACATAACACATGCTTACTTAAATGTCTGTAAAATTCTTGACAATTAAAACATAGAGCCAGTTTCAACATGAATTTCAGATCCAAAGGGCAAACAAAAGCATTCTGGAACAGTTTGTATCATAATCATGAATATGCTTATTCAAAAGATCATGAATGGCTTGCTCATTTTGGCAGGAAAACCAAGTGCTTAAGTGGTCCCCTTCAATGAATATAGCATATACTTCTTTTTATCTTTTCTCATGTAGCTTCTCAAGCTAAGTTTAGCATCAAATAAGACAATAAGTTAAAGGATGAAAAATGGAATCTGCATTATTTCGCGGCGCCACTGCTCTTTCCCACCAAAGACATTTGATAAGAATCCATCAAAAGAAGCTGAACCTAGAAAATATTAAACATCTGATGGCCCAGCAATAGGATACAACATGCCAAGATGTTGACATTTTTAAAGTCCTTTTTTCTCCTTTTGAAAACTAAAAAAGTGCAGTCTTACAGCACATGCTAGTACTCAATTACAAAAGGAAATCACAGTGCATCTCCTGTTTACGAGAATTGAGGAAATAAACACCGAGTTCAGACAGTTTTTAAACTGTAACCACATCCTAATCACACTGTTGAGTAATACGAGCTTGCTGAAGCTATGATCTGCAGCCTGGTCACTTTATTGGCATAGATATGGTTAGTTCACTAACATATGGACAACCCCATCAATATCAAAAGCACAATGTATCAATTATTGAGCTTATCCGATAAACAGAAGTACTTGAGCAAACAAGATAGATGCTTTAATCACTTGACTCGTTAAAGGAGTTTTAGAAACAACTGTTTTAAGTACTCAACCACAAAAGTGTGATAAACAATCGCAATCACGCATCAAAAAACTGAAAGAATGGAAATAGAAACAGAGAGGCAACAAGAAACATACCTTGAGCCATTATCTCCCAGGCCGTGTAACCAAACTATAGTAGCCTGGTGTTTCCCTTTAGGCCTCACCACATGTGTCCTTCCAAACTCAAATGTCCTTCTAGCAGTTCGACTTCCTAAAATTTGCGGCAATGAAGTTGTAATCAACAAGTTGAGAAGATAAATATTGCTAGAGCATTGTGAATAAACAAAGAAATCAGCATTCATACAAGAGGGTTTAGGAATCTAACAAGAACATATAGAGAAAAAGGAAGAACGAACACACAATCACAAGCAGCTAAGAAGAACATGTAGAGGAGGATAAAAGGAACAAACCAGAGCCCATTGCATGATTTGAATAGCTCATTTTGGCAGATGGATGAACACTGCAGCGAATAATAGCAAAGCAATGCAAAAAAGAGTGAGAAGAGGTACTGCAATGATGAGAAAAGAGAGAGTTATAGTGTGTATTTATACCCAAAAAGGTAGTGTGAAAATGGAATAAAACAGGTGAATATGCAACATCACTATATTTGTGTAATGTGTACACAAACGTGACTAAAACCTCCTAGAATAAGAGGCATCCGAGAAAGGGGAAAAAAGTAAAAAATCTTTTAAACAACAGAGAATCCAAGAACAGAGCACATTCATCTCTTCTGAGGCTCACAGCTAGGAAAGAGGAAGAAGAAGAGGAGGACGACTGTTGATTTGCAACAACAGAGAATCTATGCTCTTGCGGGCAGTGGCCGAAAAATAAAGCAATCCCAACAACAACTCAGTAAGAATATTACTGAAAACAAGAGAGAATAATCCAAATTTGCTAAAGTAAATATCTTTTTTATTTCAATCATTTGCTTATGAAGTTATCAGGTGATTAGATCGATACCCATTAACCAGAAAGTTGAAAAGTTTCATCTTCCATGACAAGCAAAATTTAATACGAGCGACATAACAGCAGAAAACTGGGGTTTTAGGTTTTGTATTTTCCCGTGAAGTTCCTTTTTTTTTTTTTTTAAATACATACATATATGTATATAAAGATCTATACATACATAAGTTTGATATGATTTTGTGATGGACATTTGTGCCTGGATTTCTTAGGCATGAAAAAGCATGTGAACTTTTTTCTCTTCTGCCATCATCTCTCCTCTTGCTTGCCAGTTGCCACTAGAAATTTTTTTTGGTGGCTCAAGTCCCACCAGTGAATGTTTTTGTTTGTTTATGGTATTGGGAGACACCATGAACACACAGAAAGTCCAAAACTTTCCCTTCTACCCAAAATAAAAAGTCCAAAACTTTAACCTTGATACAGAATAAAGATGATCATAATTATAACTTGGCCTTACCCAATTTAATAAATTAAACTTAATTATTCTCATCTTTTACATATTTTATTCCAATTAAAAAACTTAAAAGAAATCTTTAACTCTTAAAACCCAATTATAATAAAAAATTTGAAGATTAAAATTATATATACATATATGTAAATTTTTCTGAGAATACAAGTTTAATGTAAAAGTAGATCAAAAAAATTTCATATGCAGAGATCCACCAGTAAGTGGGTTGAAAGAGAATTACTCTGAACCCACTATGCACACCACCACTATGTATATATAGGTCCCCTATAGGAAGCAGCCTTAATGCACCAACCAACCCAGCAGGCATTTTCTGCAGAGAAAAAATTTGTTTCTAATGCACACACTATCAGCTTACTGATTCCAGTTGTATTCAATTCCAAAAAAATTAAATAAATTTTAATTCCCCATTTAATTCAATTCGATTCATATCCTTTTATCGATTTGATTCAATTCAATTTCTCTCTCTCTATATATAAATTTAAAAAAAAAAAAAATCACAGCATAAGAATATAATTGAATTGAACTAAACTGACATCCATTTTTTTTTCTCATGTCAACTTGCTATATAATTATAACAATATATACCTTACCCCACCATTAACTTTAGGAGATTAAAGCTGCACCATTGTCTTACTCTAAGAATTGGGTTTATACATATACATTTAATGAGATAGATTGGTAAATAGATATATTATCAAAAGCCAAACTCTATATTAAACTGGTTGACTAAAAACTTTGAAAGAAATGTATACATGGATGACATATGGCAGATTACAATTAGGTTATGAGAGTAAATGGCAGCAAGTGATTTCCTTTTGTGAGAAGCAATTAAAAATAACAATAATTTTCTATGCTTGAGGAAGAAATCTTGAAGTGCATGCAAATGCAATGCAACTTTTTGTTTGTCAACCCCTCCTTTACCCCACCACACTCAACAGGGCAAGAATCAGTCTCATCTGTAGAAAATGGTTTGATTCTAAATTTAGTTTAATGCTTTTCTTTTCCAATTTTTTAAGCTTAATTAATTAATTAACAGAAAGAGGAGACAGACAGATGCTGCTGGCACTAGTATGAAATAAATTTCAAGATTAAAATACCTCAACATGGCTTCATTTTGTTTTTTTTTTTAATAATTAAGCAGCTAGTTTTCCATGAAAAAATCAATTATTGTTTTATAAGTTACTTCAATGAAAACCTAATCTACCACGATCATTCTTTAGTCATCACCTAAGTTTTCTTCGTTATTAAGTTGTGTTATATGTATTACTATTAGTGAGTTATTTTGATATTTTTCTTTTTTTTTTCTATATGAATACGTGAATTCGAATAATGGGTATCTAGTATATTCTAATTATCAAGTTGTATTATATGTATTCGAGTCAGTGTGTATCTCGTGTGTCTTCATTATTGTACTGTGTTGTATGTATTATTAGTACTAAGTTATTTTGATATATTTTTTTCATATGGGTACGTGAATTCGAGTCGTGAGTATCTTGTATATTATCATTACGAGATCGTATTATTGTTGTAAGTTATCTTATTATAAATTAGTATATATTTCTCAATTATTTAATAAAATATACGAATTTTTATAAATTAAAGTTTTAATTTGTTTATGCAATGTTGCTTTATTATTATTTTTTTAAAAAAAAAAATTTATATATTTGTGTTGGATAAATTTGCATGGTTAGCACCCACCAACTTTGCTTTACATGAGATTTGAGAGCCATTAGGGTAAGGATTCAAAGAAATAATTTTAATTTGCAGACAAGAAGCTGGTGCTGGTGCTTCTTGTTTCTGACTATAAATTTGTGAACCATAATCAATTCTAGATTGCTAGGTTTCACCCTAATGTTTCATTTTCACTCATTTAATTTAATTAGTGAATGTGGCTTGAAGATGCAAAGATGTTGAATATAAATATTTAGATATTTAGATATGATATATGTATATGTATATGTATATGTATATGTATACTTAATAGTTTTAAAACAAATACAAAAAGAGATTTAATTAGTGTAGAGCACATAAATTAACTCTAAGCCACAGTTCTACTTTTTAGAACTATTTCAATAGAGAACTTAAAAAAGAATTTGTCATTCAAAAACTCACTTTAAGTGGATTCTCTGTCAAGTCCCAATTTATTTTCAAGAGTATAAAAAATATTCTTTGTTTTTAACCACTTCAATATATATATATATATATATAATAATTACAATATTTTAATTTTTATTTTCTGAATTAAATAAATAAAATGGTTAATTTGGATATATATATATATATATATATTGCTTACAAGGATTAAACCTTAATTTGTGGTTAATTCTTTTTTTTTTTTAAATATTGTTTGCACTTCTGAGCTGCTGCTGCTGATATTCTTATTTATTTCTTAAAAATAAGAAACAAAAGAAAAGATATAAGAAGATACTTTTTTTTTTGTCTTTATAAATATCAGAAGGAATAAAATACAACCTTTTTGGACGCTTATAAAGCTGGCAGGCATATCTATATATATATATATATATATTATATATATACATATATGTATATGTAGATATGGTTGATATGAAAAAATTAAACATTCTGTCCGAGAATGATCTACTATCTATACCTACTCATTATATTTTAAAAAACATATTCTTTAAATTAATTAAAAAAATGTATACATCAAATTATTTTTTTAATAAATTTATACATTAATTAATTAAATAATACATATATACAAATCACAAAAAAAAAATAAATAATCTCTGAATAAAAACAAACACAAAAATTCAATTTAATTTGAACCCGCATAGAAAAAATTAATGTATCAACTATTCAATTAACTAATAATTATATGTATATAAATTATTTCTTAAAATTTATCAAAATATCATTTTTAATTAGAAAAATAACTATTTTAGTTATAAATAGATAAAATTTGTCATATACAAAATATATAATTATGTAAATTATTATAGTAATAATAATAATTAGTAGTTAATTCTAAAACACTTAATTTTAATAACTAAAAAAATTAGGGTTTCAACAATGACTACTTCAATCCATGTAGTAGTCTGGCAAAATATTGATTTATTATTGGATAAAAATTTGACAATATAGATTTAATTATAATCAATTATTACACAATAAAAGCATAAATATAACATATTTAAATAGCTATACATAATAATTTTTGGTTGGTTATATATTTGAAGTTTTTTTAATACTAATATAAACTATATATATACATGTGTGTGTATATATGTATGCAATTCAAAAATTAAAGAAAAGAACAGGTTTGAAGTATATCCATGAATAGTCAACAATATGTTAAATATATATATAAAAATTGAAAGTAACCCTTTCTTCTGTTTTACCTATTTAAGTTTATTAGAATTAAAATATATAAATGTTTATACATTAGAATTAACTGCAGAAAGATAAATTATGGGAATGTAGTTTAACAATACATATATGCTGAATCACCATGAAATATATGATGGGTATGTATATATCTATATATATATATATATTTATATATATATATATAAGTGAAGATACATGAAACGAACCCATGTGTACATATCAACCGAGCTAGGGTTGTACCTATATTTGGTATTGGGTTTCACTAATAATTAATATAATAATTGGTGAATGGAAGTTAAAGAAGATAATTAAGCAGGCAATTGGACGAGTGATTAGATGTAACAATATGAATATATATATATATATGTATGCATGTATGTAGTACATATATATATATATATATATATATCTAATAACATAATAATATGAATATATTGTGGAGGGAACAAATTAAGTAGGCAGTTGAATTATTTTATACTAAGAAAGAAGATGTCTTTTCAGATGATTTAGATTAATGGCTAATTTAATCTTATATATTCTTCTGCAACTGTTAAATTTATTAAATAAATAAATTTATATGAATTAATGACATATTTTAAATGCATGCATAAATGGTAGAACTCTCTAAAATGGAACAAAACTTCTCAACTAAATTTAGTGGCTAAACAAAATTATGAGTTCTAAATCAGTATCAATTTATATATTATATATGTTTATGTATGTATGTAAATGTATCATTTAATTCATAACTCTCTCTCATTCATGGCTGCTTCTGCTTCATGTGTAGAGTAAAAGTTATCATACATATCTGTGTATGTACGGGTGTATGGACTAGGAGAAAAGGGTGATTGTTGTGACACGTGAAAAGGGTGCTGCGAGCAACATACATGAAAGTGACAAAGGAAAAATCAGCTGGGGAAACTGATGAATGCATCAGCGAACGTTCTTCATTTTTTGTAAAGGCAAATGGAGTATTAAGTCATGGAGTGATGTCTCACATCTTGCT